AATTCGAATAGCAGTTTCCGATAGCTGTCTTCCAAATGTAAGTCTGATTTTCGATCTTAACATTTGCGGAAAGTCGTCGTCATTGTTGACAATAACGACTAATTTGTGGTACTGCATAGTTGAGAGTTTGAGTATATCTTATTGCGAAATTTCATTCGAAATATGCATAAATCAAGTTGGCTTTTTTGTAATTTCTGTTCTCTCTACTTGTATTTGTGCATGATTTCATTATTGCTAAGATTATTGAAACAGTTAGTTAGAAACATAGAAGCATTCTCCTACCCTTGCATGTGGCCGAGAAATTTAAATAAATCGGATGTTTAAATTTGTCACGTAAAAATAATTGTTTGCCGGCAATATACTAAATTATAATGAGAAGACAAGATCATTAGACATTACTGCAAAGATAATGGATAAAATCAGTACAGTTGTAAAAATTTAAGTTTGATTGACATTTTCATTTCCAGAGAATTCATAAATATTTTATTCCATAATGTTTTAAGAAATATTTTTAATAAATTTTTGGTACTTCATTAGGATTGTCAGCACAAGCACCAGCGATTCTAATATTCATTAAAATGTAACATATACTTTTTTTCATCATACCTGTGTGATATTCTTACTTTTTCACGATTTCACTATCAAAATAATTTGGCTTAATTTTTTACTTGTTTTATTCATGTGCTCTTAAATTGAACGCATTTTCAAGCAACTATCAGGCTTACCTGATGATTTTCTTGGGAAAATCATATGTCGTTATCCACTTCAGTACTATTCCTTAAAAGGTGAGCGAAATTTTCCAAGTTCACACTTATACGTTATAGCTTGCATGACCACTCACAATCGACATCAATATTCATAAATTTATTATTCGTATTGTTTATCTAAATAACTTGCTCTATTTAGATGGCTAAAACTATAGCATATGGTTTTGGCATCATTAAACGAATTCTAATTGGAATAATAATGGGTCGCGGAATTCTGATTAGATTGTCTCTTTCACTCTAAAATGACATTTTAATTTTAATGCAGATTCTGAATTAATTTTCCTCAAAGATATTCATTAATATATTCGTAGTTGGCATTTATTGACAGATATTGTGACTAGCTTCGAAAACTGAACTAATTATGGAAATTTCCTCGTTTTGAAACGTAATTTATCATCATTTCGTATTCAAAAATTGCACTGATGATAGCAGTGAGATATCCCCATTAAAATGTTTACTATTACATATGCGCATCCTTGTACAGAAAGTGGTGTTTTGAAAATTTCCTTCAAATATTTCCCTAAGAAACTACTCATCTACTTGGATTGCAAATTTTTAACTGGAATTTACTGAAGGAGCAAACCTTTACGATTATCTGGATTTTCCAAATGTTTATTATTTATTGATAATTGTAAATTTGTCATTTTTGTTATCCTTTATTTCATATAATAAATCTAGAAAGCTATCACGAAATAAGTTTTCACAATTATCTCGTTGTATTTCAAGTTAGTAAAATGAAATATTTTATTTAGCAAACAGACAACATCACCTATCTGAATTAAGTTCATTGGTTATCAATCAGATCATGGAAACTTAATTCACTTTTCTTGACCTGATGACCTTTTTTGTTGACGAAAAAAATTATCGTTGCTCAGTTCTTGTCGATGCACTATTAATAAATCAAGATTATCGGTTTCTTACGAGATTTGGATACGAAGTATAATTTGTTAAGAGAAGTTTAAGTAAAGCTGTACTGATTGGAAAGAAAACGTTATAAATTTATTCTCAGGGAGAACGTGAATTATTAAGGAATATGCGTCCATGTAAAGCTTTACTAATTTTCTATAAAATGAAAGTTTAGTAAACAGTGTTCGCAAATCCGTTGTCATTTTTAGGGATTGTCTGCTATATTTCATTAAAATCAAAATAAATCGAAAATATTTAGTTATATTCACTTTTTCTGATCTAACAATCCGTAAAAGTAAAGTAATAATGACATAGAAATAGTTGGTTAGGCTAACTACTTGAATATTTCTCTCTCATGCTGTCGATGACAATGGTACTTCAATTTGAAAGGGATAAGTTTAGTTAATCACATCTAGAAATCCTTGAATGCTAGATAATTACGAAATGAAAGTATGTAACCTGGCATGAAAGCGACAATTGCTTGAAACGCTCATAATAACGTTTTGAAGCATAAGCAATGACAGTCTGAAAGCCTTTCTTCAATAAAAAGTTTTCTCTTAGCAGTTATATAGATTTAATTATTCAGTTTTCCATATATTTAAAAACGGAGGTTTTTCTGAAAAAAGTGAACAGAATATGTAACAAGCAATTTTCAAAATCTGATTTTTCACAAGTTAAGAAACCGTTTTATTATCACAAGGTATCTCTGATATTTTGTTTTTGGCGTAAAAAGTGTTATCGATTAAATTTGTCTCACTCGTTACTATTTAGTCATAAGAGAATCTGTTTATTGAAATTAAAGACTAAGTTGCAATTGGTAAGTTTCCTGAACTTGAGGCGATGAATTTGCAAACAATGCATCAGTGAAGAATATTTATCGCTTGATTGTTTTCTATCCATAATTCGATTATTCTGTTAGTGATTTAGGGCGAAGGCATTAATTACAGTTTCATACGGGTATTTGAATTGAATGTTCAGGATGAATTTTGAGATCTTATTAAACAAATTTATTATGGTTCTTAATTTTTTTGAAAATTAGTTCTGTTGTTTCCACATTATCGTGTAAACGTCTGCACTCTTTATCGAAAATAATTTCATTTCCGTGAATGAGGAAAAATTATTTGAAGTTGATTTTACCCTGACAATTGTTTTTTTCATGAATTCAAATGAAAAGTAAAAAAAAACGAAATGGTATAATTTATATGAAAATTTGAGAATAAGACGAGTTATAGTCATGAAAAATTACTGAGAAAGAATTTGAAGTTTGCAGATTACTTGCAGAAGATAGTAGCTACAAATATGCATTATTTTCCTAAATTTAGTTGAAATGAACAAGCCATTTCCGTTTATTTGTGTGCCAGGTCTCTTTTTCTTGTTATCTTTATTACTCTTTGATTTAAATTGGAACACAGAAAAAGAGCTAATTTATTTATTGCTTTTATTGGCACGTTTTTGTTGGTGAGTTACTTTATATATTGTTTTTTTTTTCTTATAACTACTGAAAAAACATCTGACAAGAAACATTTGTTAAACTATATTCTACAAAAAGCTGATAACTTTTTTAAAGCCACTCAATTGAATTTTTTTCATTCATCAAGGATTTCGAGAGATAAAAATTAAAAAATTAACTTGAAGAGCGATGCATATCAGAAATTCACTCAGCCATTCTCGTTTATTAATCAAACTCAAATTTTGTTTTTCAGAGGAGAGCGTCTAGTTCAAAGTATTGGGATTAGATATTGTGATGAATATAATAATTATTACTGTTCCAGTTAGATGAAACGATAAAGTGTTTAAGTAGTAAAGAAGTTATTAGCTAACTTATCCTCTAGATTATCAATAAGGTCTTCGACAATTATGTTATTATTCAAACTTCAGATAGGTCAAATAGCAGATAAGGCGCTAAGATGAAAAGAAAAACCCGTATGGTTTCAAAGTACAGATTACCTTTCCAAACAACGTCTTTTTCCAGATTTTTCAGATATTTGTTGATAGGATTAAGCAAGATGTTTCAGCTCTTTCTAATCGTTACTGAAATTTAATTGCTATTAAGTACAAAAACTTATTTATAGGGTCAGTCTTAGTGCAGAGAGTTAGTCATTCTAGTAGCAAAAGATATTGCGAGGCATTAATAAACAGCCGAAAGCAAAAATTTTCGTCGAATAATCTTAATCATCGATATCATGAAATCAAAGAGCTTGAATAATGTGAGTGAAATATCGAAATTGCTGTCACAAATCTGGGAATTAATTTGAAAAGTTTTATATGCTTATAGCACAATCTGATGTCCCTCTTAATCAGCTTATCACTTTTTGGTAGAGATTAATACATATAAAATTCAAGAGCCAAAAAATATGTGAATTGATGTTTGCATGTATTCGATCTTCCGCTCTTCAAATACCGTTCTAGAGATTAGTTTCGTAGTTTATGTTAATTTTGATTCTTTAATTTTACCAGATATCTTGCTTTTCCTTACCCTGAATGGTTGATAAAATTAGAATCAGTTTTTGCTGCAGACTGAGCAGGAAAGAATGAAATCTGCAGATCTTTTTTTTGTATGTGGGGGGCTTTTATTTCAAATTTGGTCGATAAACGAAATAATGAAATAAAGAAAGTTGATGCAGCGACTCTTGTGTATCAGACAGAAATCTGATTAACTTTATATCCATATATCGATATTTCGACTCGAAGTGTGTGGTTTAGTGGAAAAAAAACGCAATATTTCATTTAAATTGCAGTAAATGAGAAGTTTTTTTCGGAATGAAAATCATTTATTTCTATGTGGAAAAAATGTATATGGGTACAAAATATGTATCAATAATAAAATTTCGGAATTTCTTGATAGATAGCTAGGGTGAAAATGCAACTTTCGAAAGGAGACGCAGTGTCAACATCCAGAACCATCCATCTTTCTATCTGTTTTTATCTAGCCAATTCCACTGACAAAAAGTTACTTTATTTGCATTGGGCAAACAAATGCCAAATCTTTCTACAAATTTATTACTTTCGTTTAGCTTCTTTCAAAAGAAACTTGATTTAAATTATACTTATGTACCTGTATATATATATATATTTTAGTTTTTGATTTATCAGTCCATAATAAGTGCTTAAATAAGTACATTAAAATGTATGATAAATATAAAAATGCTCATGTATATATATCTGTGTATTGTATTGCTGGAAATATCGTTTGTTTTTAATTTGTAAACGGTTTTTAATATGCATTTCAGAAAAATACAGAGTTAAATGAAATTCACTTTTTTGTAGAAACAATGGATTGTATGAGTTAGAAATATTTTAAGAAGCTTCTAATGCTAAAAATGTTGTATGAATCAAGGAAATGGTATTGGTTTTATGCTTTATGCACCTATAATGCCTTTTTTATATTTGCTTATCCGTAGTTTCCAATTCGTTTCTAGAAATTTTCATGTTTTATTTGTTGATGTTGAATCAGTAGGGAGAAACGTCCATTTGTTTGATTTAGGATATCATTTGCCGTAAGTGTTTTATTCATATGGAAACCATTAATTGCCAAGATTTAAAAGCTAATTTCCATTAGGTCCTTCCATCGTTAATCGAAAAGACCTGGTTGCAGGACAAATTTATTGCCAGTCATACTGACAGATATGCAAATGTCTGAGTGCTTTTTGTTCGTAGTTTAAATTAAAAAAAATTAAAATGTTTTCATACGTAATATTAGAAACTTGGCTAATACCTGATCAATAATGGGGCGTTTCAGATTCGTATTTTGATGTTTTATTTTACTATAAACCTGTACTCTTAGTAATCGCTTCAAGTTTCTCATTCAAGAAATAATCCATTGTACTATTTACTTTTTTAATCTAACAGCAATATGACGTGGAAATTTGCATAATTTAAAGCTCATTTACTCCACCCGTTCTTCCAACAATAGTTTCAAAATATATGGGATTTGTTAACATTTAGTATGTCTTCGTTAAATTGAAATTGTATTTTCAGACGAGCCAATTCAAAAAATATTTTGTGAAGGTGAAGCGGCAAGTTTGGAGTGCCCTGCTGGGAAATATATCGGCATACGATTAGCCAATTATGGACGCTTTACATTGGCGTTATGTAATCCGAGCCATCGTACTGACTTGAGCACTACCTGTCAAAATGACCGAACTTTAGGTATAATGAAACTGAAGTTAGTATTTTATTCCATTTTTAATCATGTCAGCTAATTTCCAATTTTAAAAAGCAGTGAAAAAAACAAGTTAATCATTCGAGAATTAACTTTGTAGATCATACAATTAAAATTTTCAAATATTAGAATTCTGTTGGTTACAAAGAAATGTAAAGTTGGTTTGTTTCTTTTATATGATGGATATTATCTATATTCGAAGCACATCTCTAAAAATTATGTGAATTCATCATACTGTTGTCATGCACAGAAATCATCTTTTAGTTTTTATTCATGTGTGAGTAGTTTCCTGTTATCAACTAATCATTATTAGGATTAGTTCTTTTATATTAAAAGAATTGATAATTTACTGCACTTAATAATTTAGTAATAAAAGCAATTAGTTTTGCCATCGTTTTAACATTTTCAAATATATATTTTATGGGAATGAAAGGTAAATATATCGCTTTATCTTAGCATAATGAATTCTTGGGACTTATTTGACATATATCTTTAATTGTTACGAGTTCAGAGTTTCTGCCATTTGATACTTGGTAAATATTCTGAACGGGTCATGCGTGAACGAAAACAGACATCTGATCAAATTTAGTCCAAACTGGAATAGTATCTCTTGAAGAAAGAAGCGAAATTTGAGAAATCCATAAACTGATATTTTTGTACAAGGAACACTATTCTGATCGATGAGTTTTGAAATCTTATTGATTCAAAGCCAGAGAAAGATGTCAAAAGCTGTCGTCTTGTTACGATTATTTACTAGTAAAGACTAATTTCTCAATTTTGAATAAGGGCTTATGGGCTGTGGATAATTTTCATTTTTTTAGCTCACTTTGTGTTTTTGTACAAAGTCAGCTAAAAACAGCTTTTGCACGTGTTTTAGCTAATCATAACAGGACAGGAGTAATTTTTATTAGCAGAAAGATTTAGTATAAATGTCTCAAGCGTGCAAAGCAAGTTCATTTTGAAAACTGTTTCCTAATTAAGTGTTGTTCAGTTTAATATCATCTTTTTACATCTCGTAGATACAGCTAGTTATTCTTTTCCGTGACATTTGATCCATTTATTCAACAAAGAAAAATGATAAGTTCTGTCAATAAGTAGTTTGAAAGTTTACGGTGTAAAACAAACAAAAAAAAGTAACTATTGCAAGAGTATTACTGTTGTTATTTTAACTCAGTATTTTGCTTTTTCTGCTTCTTATCTAACTGCAAGCTTTTACACTTAAAAGTTCCAATGTGTAAACACTAGGAAATCAAGTAATTATTGCTGCAATAAAATAATGGATTTAAAATTCATTCATACAATTTTGTAACTTCCTTTGTGTATTACGACTAATTCATATACTTTTTTTATTAGTCTATTCAAAGCGATAAATTCTGTAACAGACAGTCTCGAAATCCATGTCAATAAATGATGTCAACTTCACATGAATTATAATTTATATATTTTATAATTTGTCATATGAATGACTAGCTGTACGTATGAAACACAGGGCTTATTGGATCAGCTTGTTCAAAACAAAGGGTAATTGAAAAAAGTATTTTTAGCGTTTATAGAAACAATTGTCGTAGCCTTGGTGACTTTTTGGAATTTCATCTATAGTATACTGTTGTTCTATTGGCTTCAGAACAGAATTATATTTATTTGTTTCTCGTTAAGATCTAGCATCAGTTGTAATGCTTTCATCAATAAATAATGTCAGTTTAATATTTTCAAGCAACAAGAAATTTAAGTTTTCTATAGGGAACCTTCTTTCATGAGAAGTGAAGTTATTTTTATAGCAAAGTAAGTTATTCGTAAAATGTGTCGTAAATTTAGTTTGTTTCAAATTAAAGTGGAGAAAATTATTTGAATTAGCATTGTATTTTGAACAGCTACTGATGTATTTTTTACCTCAGTGCACGATATGAAACATAATAACAGGTTTGTAAGATATGTAATCTTAGAAAAGCACATTGTTCGGAAACAGGTGGACAGTCTTTTTCAGATATATTTGTGTTTAATTAGTAGTAAAATTTGTGAACAATCACAGGGATAACGCATGGAATTAACTAATATGTTTAGGGTTAGGATTACGTTATAAATTACAAAAACAAGTCTATTTAATTTGAGAATCTTTTTTTATCAATATATTAATGATGAAAGTGAACAAATCAGTGTTGGCAAACTTGCGAAAAGTATTGCAGCAATGATTATTATAAATTTGCGTGATAACATTACTCAATTAATTAGCTCAACAACAATATAAAATTGAATAGCAGAGCAATGATAAAAATAGGAAAACCATGAAACTTTTTTATGAGCAAGAATGATACATTTGTCATAAACAGTGTCCATTACAAACATTAGAATAGTTGATGAGGAATACGCGTCAAAAACTCGTACACGATATCAATATCCCTAACAATGAAAAATAATTAAAGGTTGTAATTACAGCTTACTGTGCAAAATAGTTTATGTTATTGCTGTTGTCATCACAGTAATGACGATCTCAAATCACTAAGAAAGCTTTAATAATGGATGATGGTTACCAAGGCAAAGATTTATACAAACTTTCTTTTCTTGTCTGAAATAGTTTATTTTTAAATAGATATCTAATTTGTATTATAATCACTCTTAATCTTTTATGTAAGAAGAAAAATATGTGAGCTTTTTGCTCCTTTCGCGAGCATTGACCTACTGTTGTTATTTATATTTTGGGTCCTTAATCTTAAAAATCTGTCAATTATTCTCAGAATGAGGAAAAGTTTGGACTGTAGCGGTTTTTTATTTCAGTTTCTGATATGCTTCTTTTCTCTTATTTTAGAATTCACCTACCGGCCAATAATATTTTTACTTGAAAAAGTTAAATTCGAATTATTCTCAGTATGCAAAAATCATCCACTTTTCTAATTTATCACTTTCCTCAGTTACTGTTCAAGCAATCTTAGTGGTCGTAAGCAGCTCTAAAGTGTTTTTTAGTCCTTCAGTAGTAAACCTTACAGATTTGTTTCTTTCTTCTTGCATGGTTAGTCGAAAATTTTGTTGATAAGTATTAAGTCCATCAATAAATGAAACATGTGGTATGAAAATCATCCATTATCTCAAAAGAAAGATTACTGATTAGGTACTTTAAGTTGAATTGTTTCATGGGAACAATAGCTCATAGTTTAGCGGCTTTGAATAGATGGTTAATAGAAAGAAGTTGCAGAGATGAGGTGGAGAAGATTGTACCGAGTGAAAATAAGCAAAAATTATCCTCTCATATTACACATGCAAGGACACAAACAATTTCATGATTGTCACCTTCTTTCATGTATGATTCCTCGTAAATACTATATGATGACTATTTATGCAGACTAAGGTAGTTTCGATTTTCAGTCAATGGAGACAGCACTAATTTCCTTGTTTCCTTTCCTGTCCTAGTAAGAAGCGCTTCAGGGATTCAAAACATGAAGAAAAAACTTCACATGCTTATCTAGCGAAATAATATTCTGATAACGCTTAATCTCCTCTGCAAAATAGTAAATCACTGCACCTTGTATGCTTAAAAATGTATTATCATTATTTTTTTTAACTTCCTTCGCTTTTGTCATCCATACCGAAAATAAAAGGGACATTTAGATCAACAGCGAAAGTTCTTTAAATGAAATTAAAAAAATAATAGTGTGAGTCTATTTCACTGTAGAAAAATTGAGACATTTCGAGAAGTTCTCAATCTTCAGTTCTGATTTGCTCGTGAAATCATGATATGTTGAGAAATTTTTGACCCGATTTCACATCGTTGTCGGCTTCGATTTTTTTCTGAATTCGTGTTTAGAAATATTCTTTGCTCTGTTTGTGTCATTTTGAGAGATGATTTTGTGTGATCTACATGATTTAATTTTTGAAAAAAAAATAATTGAAAGCTGTGCATCTAAATGAAATCAAAACTGCTTCATTTGTCAAGGAAACTGATGTAAGGAAAAAAAGTGAAATCACTAGTTGGAGGGTAATAAAAACTGTTGGAATTGTAGATTTATTTACGTATTAACACAAACGCACGACACATATTTATTTATTTGATATCTGTACATTTCTGTGTTCATAGATAGCATTGAAAAGATGGAGCTAGAAAAATGTAATTACTCATCTTCTCGCAATGTCAAATACTAGTAATCATACAGTTGCTTATATAACCAGCGAATCCCTCTAATTTCATTTTTTCATTCATTCAATATTTGTACAACCATCATTAGTCAAAAATCATATTGATGGATTTTTTGCACTGTTTGTGTCAGGAAAGGAAAACATATTGTTTTTGTCTCCACACTCATAATTAGTTAATACACTGCATGGTGATACTGGTAGTGTTTTTAAAAGATGAAATTTCACATTGCATTTATTATTATAATAATGGATAGGAAAGTATTACTTGTAAGCTCTACTTGCCTAAATAACTTTGGAAGAAGTGACTCCTAAAGTTCAGAAAATATAGGACAAATAAAGAAGCAAAAAAATTTGAAATATATGCATGTTACAGCGATTTTTTACTTAATATTTTGTGCGTTTTTTTTTTTTCGGAAACTTATAAATTGCTGTATAGAAAATGCAAAATGTCTGTATATACATAGCAAATCAGCAAAATGGATGTTTAAAAAAATTTCGAAAATGAGTTTTTTCTACTGCAGCTTTCTATTGCTCCATAAAAACTGAAAACCTTAAAAAATAGAAAGTGATTTTCTATTTCACTTTTTGTTCAATAATTCACGATTTTTTGCTTTAATTTTATATATAATGACTACGACGCCGGTTTGTCTGCCAAGTAACATTCATTTTTGAAGCAATCAAAAAAAGATATTCCCTTGAAAGACAGTTACTTTCCCATGGAGCAGGTTTTGTGTCTTTTTTTTTGTCTTATTTTTTTATTGTTTTTGGACCATTTGAGAGAGAAATTTTTTTCGAAAATAATACTTTTTCCTTTTTTTTTTTGATTACAGGTTCGAGTGAGCTAATATGAATTAAATGTGATACAAGTAGCACAGAATTTATATGCGAATGATTTGTCGTTAAATTGACATCTAAATCTTTTCTGTTATTACTAAATTAGTAACTGTGGGTTCTTGAGTGTTGGTTCGCATGAATATATATGAATTAAAGGATATAGAGTCAGCAGAAAATGTGGCCTAATCTTTCTCACTAAAATGGTAAGGTCAGAAAAACTGTTTTATTTTCAAATAATTTTGCTTTTATTTGCCTGAATCTAGTCTTTCGTAAATAAAAAATGTGTTTAATTTCACAAATGTGTTATTTGGATTATATATATTCCAAATCTATAGCTTAGAATTTTAATCACCTTCAAATCAATAGCTTCAAATTTTTTTTAGTTAATAACATCATATTACTAATAAATTTTTACTTTTTGAAAATGAATAAATGATCTACTTCATATCTCAAATCGTATCCTAAATCATTAATTAGTAGCGGAAACAAGAGTATAATACTACAGGATCATACGAGTGCAGATGAATCCTTAAACAATACGTTAAAGTTAATCATCAAACATGAGATCTAAGTAGGTTGATATGCATGCCTAATAAGTATCTCTCGTTGACGTAACAGAGTGAGCCACAGGTTATTTACATTTGTATTCCTTATTTTTGGTTACTTTCAGTTCTATCTTGTATGTACTTCCTTGATGAATCCAAACTGATGTGAAAAGAGGGACAGTTCTGTTGAAGCTTGAACTCATTTAAACTCTGAATGGAGTTATAAGTGGATTTATTTAACAAAAAATGATTTTATACAATAAAATTGCCTTAGGCGTTTTACGAGGAAGTGATTTCATTGCTTACGTGCAGTAGTGAATATAGACAGTCAATGTGCAAGTGATTTTATTTTGCAAAATAATGTTACCAATTATTCGAATTATCATATACTGTTCAATTTTTTGGAAGTGAAAAACACTTAGACTTCCGATGTGCTGAATTTAGTGTTAAAATACGAACCAAAATCTATATTTCTTAGTCTACTTTCTACAGTAAATAGCACTGCTTTTTTGTATTGACTTGAAAGAGTTGGCTAGGATTCCTGATCAAGTGTCCTAAAATACTTGCATTGAAGTTATTTCAGACAGTTGCCAACTTTTAGCAATTTGATTTTTTTATTTCTGAGGGAAATCAGGTACTGCATGTCGTGTTTTGATTGCAGGCACTTGTCACTTAATTTTGCTTTTTTTTTGGAAAAACTTTTGGAAATATTTTTCTATCATTTGAAAATTCACTTAACTTACATACTAAATATTGTGTAATCTGGTGACTTTTCTCTCTTTTTAATTTATATCAAAGATTTTAAAGGAACGATTTCGTATTTACATTTGCAGTCGTTCCAATGAAATAACTTTTATGGGTGTAAAAAACCTACTGGAAAGACTTTGTTTGCTGTGAACTTCCAAAAACTATTTGCTACGGTACTGTGCAATTTGTTCTTCATTTGGGAAAGATACATCAGCATTTGCTTATTGATTAGAACGACTTAGCTTTATCTCCACAAGTAATTTCGTACTGTTAACTCTGCAGATAGGTCAGAAATGAATTGATCTAGAAACTGCAGCATATTTATGTCATTTTCTTCTGTAAATCTTGATTTCTCTCAAAGATGCTTGTGGTCATTCAGCGTAGATAATTTTTTTATGTGAACTGTGAAATCTTTGTTCCTCGATCTTAAAATAATTAAGTTGATTGTATCTAAGCGCTGTACAATCAAATTTTTGTTAAAATTTGATCATGTTTGATTTTTTCGTATCTCTATACTGTACAACTTTTAGTGTAATTTGAGTTTTTCAGTTGCAGTTTTTCTTCTTTTTTTTGTCTCAACACCTCCATCTGTTTCTTGTGTAGGTGCAATGGTTACATGCAGTGTAACATTTCGATAAATGAAGAACAGCTTGGTGACCCATGCCCTGATACTGAGAAATATCTTGATGTTGAATACGAATGTTCTGAGGCGACGATAAACGGTAACTGTGATTGTTGATGAAAAATCAATTCTCTGCAAAAAAAATTTTTTTTAATGCATGTTTTTTAATTAAATTCAAGAAACAATGTATCAAGCATCTCAAACAAGTATGACCAGCCGATTGTATCATGAAAAAATATTCGTGAGAGTTGAGCAGGAACTAGAAACTTGATGGCATCTAATTTTAGCCCTTTGCTTAATGTGAAGTTCTACTATGCATAGTTTAGGATGCATTACGAATATTAATGCACCATTTAAAATAATTGCATCGAAATTCGAATTTGGCTAGCTTAAAAAATAATTATAATTTTGCTTTGTCTTCCAACTGTTCGTTTATACTTGCAAAGCTATCACCATGTGACACTTTTCCCATCACCAACTTATCTCGATTATAGATTCTAGATCAAAACTTTAATGGAGTGGGAAAATAATAAAAATTGGCATTTATAGTGACAAGCACATCATCGACAGCATTATTTGATGTAATTGATGATCGGATTTTATCGAAAATTAACACTGTTGATACTACTAAATCATCTTTACCAACCAAAATGACGTAAGTCAAGTTTAATTGAGGTTAAGAAAGCAGATGTTTATTTTGTGTCCAAATAAATTTAAAGATTTAGGAACTATTGTGAATAAAAATTGAATTTAAAGGAAATCGAGAGCGTTAGAAAATGCCGGTGACGAATTATTTTGTGCAGCTACGGTAGAACGTGACGCAGACTGGCCGCGAACTAGAAACGGTATGACAGCGCATGTACCATGTCCAGTTGGATCCACGGGTCATGCTGAATGGGTGTGTGATCCGTTCGGAAGATGGGATTCAGAAGGACCAGATTTGTTCCGTTGCGTGAGTACGTGGAGTAAAGGGTAAATTTGAATAATTAAATTACTCTTGATATGATTCTGATCATAAAATTATTGTTACTGAAAAGGAAGAACTATATTTGAAGAAAAGCTATCAGTTGATGTTCATAAAACAAATAGTTCATTTATTTCTTCTAGTACATTATTAGTTCTCAAAACTTGAAGAATACTTATGGACGCTGAAGAAGTCGAAGATTCCGCAGATCGACTAGAATTTCTACGTGAAATTCAACTACGAACACGACGTGAATCCTTACTTGGTGGTGATCTGATCACTCTTTCGCGTGCTTTAAATTTGCTGATCCCGTCTATGGTATACGACAGCGATGCTGACCATTATGTTGAAGTAATTTGCAAAAATTATTGGTTATCTATTTTCAAAGATTTAGTTTCTGAAATGAATGATAAAATTGACTCTTTATTTCATTAAAATGAGAATAACATTGAAGAATACGTAAATTATGAAGTTTAGGCTGCAGTAATTTTATTTTCACTGTTATCAAATAAATTTGAAACTCACTTTCACTAATCTTTCAGTTAGTTGTCGAAAGTGTAAATAATATGGCAAAAGGAACACAATCAGTGGGATGGAGAGATTTGAAAGGTGTGAAACGGCGCATGATTGCTGATATGCTCATGAACCACGTTGATAAAGTTTCAGCTGTTGTGAGCACGTTGATAACTTCTGATTCGCCGCGTATCATAATGAAACCTAATATAGGTGCACAATATTATAACAAAATTTAATACAGTTGCTTGGTTTTTTTAATAAATCTCTCAAACTGTAATCACTGAAATTGAAACAAAAGAAAATTCAGAACTGTTCATTAATGATTACCTTTTTCATCTTGAGCGTAAATTGCTTATTTACAATGAAGTAAAGGACAGTGATTAGATAAGTTCATTACGAATCCTCTGATATTAAAAAAATGCATCTAAGCAAATTTGTTTGACTGTATTGAGAATCTTTTAAAAATGTTAGAATTATGAAAAAAAAATTTAATGGATTTTTATGGTAAGGTTTTGTTGAATATTGCAGTTATCAAAAGTTATATCCCAGAATCTACTTAATAACTTTTATCACAAATCTTTGTCTTTCAATTCTAATCATATCATCGTTCTCTTTATAAAAATAAACATTTATTCTGATTTTCGCTGAGATACAGTTTTAAAATTACTTATATATAATTTAAAATGATATAGTTTTTCAAAATATTTAAATATTTCAGATATAGAACTTGAAATATCGGCTGTTCGGGTGCATAATTATGTTACGTTTCCCAGTATGAGCTTGTATCGATCTACGGAGGATACCATAGAAATTCCTCGTGAAGCACTAACTTTGCGTGATGATACTGTCGGTTTGTGCTTCATTTTTATCTATCTAAATGACGTTCATAATAATTAAAAACCAAAAAAAAATATGGCTACTTTTTACTGAATGATGATAAAGTTGATTGTTTTGAAAAATCCATATGGAACAGGTACATTATATATTGCAGAAGAAGCAAAGATGGTTTATGCAGCCTATTCTTCATTGGCACAATATATTGAACCGGAACCACGTCAAGATGAGTATGGTACTCTGATACCGCGTCAGATTTCATCAAAAATAGTTTCTGCATTGGTGATAAATAGTATTGGTAAAGCTGAAAGTATTGATCACTTGGGCAAACCAGTTGTTATCACATTTTCTACTGAAGTATGCTAAGATTCAGCAAGCTGCACAGATTTCAATATCATTATAAAACAACGCAATATTAGTAAACTTAAAAGCGATTCACTTAGGTAATTAGAGACTAAGCAAATCCAAAGAAATATTAGCAATCAAATTTCGCACAATAATTTCGGATATAAATGAAATGTCGATGTATTAGGTAACATCTGTAATGTTATTATCATTTTATAGAAATTGGAATCAGATCAGATCAAGTAACTTGATTAGATCATATTTGTTAGGTAACAGGGATATTAAAGTATATTCTCCTGCGCAGATGATGAATTGAAAATTGAGAACAAAATTTGAGATCAGTTAGAGATACTAATAGTAACAAGTAAAAACAGCAGTAGTTCAACAGAAGCAAAATTATTAAAAGCAGTAGTAACAGATTACAGATGTGAATATTCTAGAAGTTTCCAAAAGCTTTTTGTACCACATAGCACTTGATATTATAGTAGTATCAAAAAAAAAAATTAGTTAAAATATAAATATTTAATGAAGAAGAAATATCTTGTAATTGCAGATGGAATGATTGTGTTTCAGCACCAAGCGAATCTCTCTGCACCGCAATGTGTCTGGTGGAATCGTACTCGATTACAGTGGTCGTCCTATGGTTGTTTAGTCAGTTTGCATAATTCGACTCACACTGTATGTCACTGCAATCACTTAACCCATTATGCTGTTCTCATGGATATCCACCACCATCAGGTAAGTAAATGAAGTAGTAATCAATTGAAAACAATATATCGTATTACATTATATTAATGAGATTTATATTTTGAACTGACGTAATACTTTTGAGGTGAAAAAAAACTGACGTAACACATTTTGAGGTGAAAAGATTATTCAAGGGAAGGCGCTTTATACTTATTTTTTGGTCGACTAATTTTTGCACATTGTAAAAATGGTTTTAACAAGCAGTTGAGCTGTGAAGTTGCAACTCCGAAAATAAAAAGTGCTTCAGTTAAAACCGTCTATTTTATATTACGAAATGAAACAAATATCCCATGAACTATTTAAGATTTAGCCAGTCTATAATGGTTATTATTAGTGATCTAGGTTAAATGGCATTTTATATCTAATTTTGAAATATAGACATTTTCAAGTAATTATTAACTGTCATTAGTCTTTGCGTAATGAGAGTACTCTTTACTCTTTTGGTTACAAAATCTTGCAGCAATCATATCTATGAATTTGGAAAATTAAATAGAATTTAAAATTCATTATTGTTTAGCTTACCGTGGAACATAATATAGTGTTAACGTTCATCACTTATGCGGGTTGCACTTTATCCATATTATGTCTTTTTTTATCACTGATAGCTTTTCATTGTTTTGGTATCAGTGGCGGGGATCGAATATTTATTCATCAGAATCTTTGTTTCTCATTATTCATGGCTGAAACGATTTTTTTGGCAGGTATTTGGCAAACGAGTGATCCGGTAAAATTTTTACCCATAAAATTTTCATTTAACGCTTCCGGCCGTCATTTTAGCAACAATCTTTACATTGATTGTTTATTTAATTATTCTGTAAAGAATTTACTGAACAATCCTAAAATGCTTTTCACTGTTTCAAGGATTTTTCATTCTTTCTGAACAGTATTCCTGTATACATTCTTGTATCTACAAATATTCTACTTTCATATTACTTAAATTTATGCTATTTGTATTTTAGATTACAGAATTGCAAGAATAATGAAAAAATAGTCGTGAACCTAAATATTCTCTTTTACTTTAAATTATTTATGCATTGTTCTTTTGATTCCAAAATTTTACTTCAATTTGATGGTGAAAAGTGATTAATTTACAGCTTCGCTGTAGTATTATTGCCGGTATTTTGCATTATTTTTTCCTTGCTGCATTTTCTTGGATGTTACTGGAAGGATTCGAACTTTATTATATGCTTGTTAAAGTATTCCAGCCAAAAGACTCCAAAAGGCCATATCTTATATTGTTCGGTTACGGTAGGATTATCGTTTTCATATCGTTCTCACTTTTTTAAATGCACTTGAATATTCCTGTTTTACTATTGCTTTTTGCACTCATAATGTGTAGGAATTATGGAATCTTACGAGAAAAAAATGGAAATTATGAACTTTATTAATCTAATACTAAATAGTTTTTTAGCTCGCATTTCAGTCCATTTAATCATTTTTTATAATCTTATTTATTTACATACTTTGAATATGTGTTACTAAAACAACATGTAATGATGAGGAGAAAATTAGGACAACGTCATAACTTCATGCCATAGTTTCAGAATCACATTTCCAGTTGATTTATTTAATTTATCAAATTGCTTTAGGCTTTCCACTGGTAGTTGTTGCCATTTCTATTTGGTTTGATCGGTTCAGCTACGGTACCGACCGATATTGCTGGCTGCGTTCTGATAATTATTTTATCCTAGCTTTTGTAGCACCCGTAGCAGCAGTCCTGCTTGCAAATACTATTTTCATCGTTATGACTCTTTTCATTGTGTGTCGCCACTCTAATATTGGCTACACGCCATGCAAACAAGATAGCGATGCACTTAAAAATGTTAGGTATGTCATATGAAAGGAGGGAAATAATTCTCTTTATTTGCTTCAGTTTTTACAACTAATCTCACGTATTTCACGGGATAAATAAAGTTAACTTTATAGATAAAACTGAATCTTGCTTCGGGAAGCTATGCCTTTATTTATGTGTTATCGTTTATATTTCAAATCCCATGAATTATTATTCCCTTGCTTGTAGAAACTGGTTGAAAGGATCGGTAGCGCTGGTAAGTTTACTAGGTCTCACTTGGACTTTTGGACTCTTGTGGATTGATGAGCAGTCTATCTTGATGGCTTATGCATTCACGACCTTCAATTCCCTTCAAGGATTATTCATTTTCTTATTTCATGTTGCTTTCAATGATCGGGTCATTTCCTCTTCCACTGATTTTTTACTATTAAAATTCATTTCTCTTTTGTTATAACAAGTTTTTTTTTCTTGGACCTTCGTAGTTCTTCGCTCGCCACCAAATCATGCAAAAGTCTTGATTACGTAATCATCTTTACACTTTGCAGCTGCATAAAGATTATCGTAATTGGGCAAATCATTCTTTCTGGGCACCACGTTGCATACGTGATGATCCCAGACATACTTCACACGCAGTGCCTTACTTACCTACAAGTGCCATGATCAAATCAGGACAAGTCATCAGTTCTGGCTCATCTACAGGTTCTGAATTATTGGTAAGTTTAAATTTCTCTTAAAATCATCATATTAGCATTTTTTTGTGAAAATTTTTGCAAATGATTGATTTTACTTCTGCTTGCAACGTTTGATCATACTTCTAACATTTTTTATTTTTCACGGACGAACAAGAATTGTAAAATGCTTACATCCAGAAAAGACGGACTTCAACATTATCGCATATTGTTTAAACGTGACTTTCGAAATGATTTGAAGTTTTGGTAAAGTGGAAATGAAATGTTCACTTACATGATTGTCTAAGCGTAAACATATCATTAATATATGATGTCTAAAGAATAAAACCAGGATTTTACTGCCGTTAGAGCTGATTTTCCAATTTTTCCATTCCTTTTCTTTTATATATATAAATCGTACTGAACCGTGTTTTCGTATTTCGTGGTTATTCAATGCACGGTTATTTTTTTATTTGTTTTGATCACACTACTGTCACCATTTTTTTTTCAAATTACATTTTGGTGATTTATAAATTGAAGAAATTTGCCAAATATTTTGGTGGAACAAGCGATAGGTATTCACCATTCTTGGCTTGTCAACAAACGGTATTCATTGGTAAAGAAATCTATGAGAGGAGAGGTTCGTCACCTTCCATCAGCTTCCATCTTTTCATTAATCAACAAAAATACGGGGGAGAATATTCACTTTGCTTTTCCGCTTCCCTTAACTCTCATTTTTTTAAATTGAAAATCGATCTTTATCGTCGGTATTATAACTATTTGATATCAGGAAAACATTTTTTTGATCTAAAATTTGATATTTCTGCTCAAATTTTGTCCTTCCGTATTTACGCTTTCATACTTTATCAGTAGAATAAACAAAGTAGCAAAGTAGCATCCATTGAAAGATTTTAAAATTAACAATTAATGTTGTCTCAGTACAATACTGATACAAATTTTATTTCACAACTAGTTATGAAAAAATCTTAATAATATCAACAATAAAGATCGAAAAATAATGTTAATTATTTATCTTAATTTGTAGTTTAATTGCTTTCTGTTGAACTAACCGTAATATAATTTGCTTGTTTCTATCCCTAAAGCCTCATTCTTCTTTCCATAAAACGTGCAAACTAATTTTTTGAATTTCATATTTGTCTGAATGGTTACTTCACGAATTCCCAATAAGTGACTTGAAATCTCAACTTTTAGAAATATAAAAGGGATATTCATCTCCATGTTAACCAATTTTGTTCAACTACGTAACAGATGTGATGCAAATATGTAAAAATAATGTTTTTTTTTTCGATGATAAATACAGTTGTCTCTTGTATCAAATTTTCTTATACTGCATTTTTTTTCCTTTCTTTTTTATCGCTCAGTGACAAAGTGGAAAAAGTAATTAGCTTCAGATACTTGATGAAGTTTGTCTTTATTTAAAATTTTGCTCACGTTAGTACTAATTATCGTGAAGAAACCAAACATATAAATTTATTTTACTAGTCTGCGGACCTCATTTTTTTGATAGAAACATATAAATAAGAAAAACATGGGATTTAAGTTTGTGATAAGAATTATTTGGAAAGCTTGGCTCAAGTTTCTTATTTTCTAAAAATCTTCACAGTATGTGTGTATTCTGCATGGTTACTATCCTTATTCAGTCATTTTGCATGCTCAAACAAAATGCCTTTTTTTGTCCACAAATAAGATTACTTTCCAAGTGACACGGCACAGCGCAAATGTTTCCATGTTTCCTTTTTTACATGGGATAACAGTACTCCTTCACAGTTGGAATATACGAGGACTAGGAAATAGTCTACTTTTATTACTTCATTATCTACCTTTATAATTTACATGTTTATTCACTATTCCAGTTATGATATATACCAAATTCACCTATCTTGCCATGCTTTTAGTATCCGTCAGTGAGCGAAAAATACCCCTCATTACCAGCAGCTCGTATGATTGCCACTATTGATCCTCGATACAGTAACTCCGTGCAAATACTTCCAGTACAGCAACGACATAATCCTTCAAATAGTATTTTTTTAATGTTTAGTAGTCAATAAATAATCAGTATTTTTGGACTTTTGCAATTTTTCAAGCATAAATCTTATTTGGCAAGTAAATAGAAAGTGAAAATGACAACATGAATCGAGGAGTGCTGATAAATTACTTCATTAGTGATAACATATTTGAAGAAGCTCTTCAAAGTTTTGATGTTTCTTATTTGCCGCTTCAACTGTCTCCAAATCGCTTATATTTTTAGATCATTTGAAAAATTGATGAAACATGTAACAGAAACTTTGTGCACTATGCAAATGAAAAATATCATACTTTTAAAATCATTTTCATTTTTAAATATTTGCTGGAATATGTTGGAATGCATAAGTGACGTATGTTTTTCGGTCTCCATGATTATGCAACAATTAGTTGTGATGATCTTTCTACTTCGTCATGCAATTACTGTCATCAGTTCGCACAGCAAGAACAGCAACAGCAACAACATTACTATCACAACCACCATCATCAATCACAACAGAAGTACTATCCCGATTGTTACACACCTATAACATTTGTGCCTAATACAAGCCTAATAATTGGATTCGGGCCTGAATTGGCTACATCTTATTTCAGGCCACCACCAAACTTTCCTCCTCCACCACCGCCACCTACTTCTGCTTCATCGTCAGTTCCTTCTGGTCAGTTATTATTAGTATCTTCAGCTGGTACTATTACACGGATGTCAGATGATTCGGCTTACAGTGATAGCTCCGCATCAACTTTGCAGTGTCATGGAGAGATAATTAACAGATCTGCGATGTTGCTGCGTATGGATTTGTCAAAAAATCCACCTGTTTTTGTGCAAGGTTTATAATTTGTGGAGTCGCTTAGTTATAAAATATTACACCTACTAAAATTTCAGGCAGTAGACTGAATATAGTGGATAAAATTAAGTGTACAATTGCTATGTGGTTTGGTCGATTGATAAAAACTCTTTTATCTCTTCATCCATAATATTTTTCATTCAATTCATTTTTTTAATGGGGTAGTAAAAGAATTACATTTATCATTAATACGAGAAAATTATGTTGACAAGCGACTTCATCTATTAAATGCCTTTAATAAGTGACTTCTTGTTTTTATGGCTTCATATTTTCGGGTCTGGATTTTTGCTTATTGCATTCATGAATGCAGTTTCTTTGAAAATTTCTTGAAAAATCCTTCATTGCAAATTTTATGCCTTTTAAACAATTTAAATATCGTGCTAGCACAAAGTCATGGTCAGTCATTCAAAGAAGTTGTATGTAGAGTGTCTGGTGATCGTGGAACAAAAATAACCAAGTCATTTAGATTAAATTAATGTAGGTAAATAGCATATTTTTTTTGTCGCATATCTTTTGTGATTTATGCTGCTTGATAAAAATCGGTAAACGCACTGATTTTTATAAAAATTGGACTAAGTTCAGTGAATGTTTGCGTAATTTAATTTTTAAAATGATTATTATGATAGTGAGCTAATTATTAACTCCATAGTTGTGAGGCAGAAAAATGATGTAAAGTGTTTAATTGCTTGGTTTCATCATTTTGGAAAACATCAAACTGTCATTCCTCATAAGTACTCTGCTATCATCATATACTGCACTACTAGTTTCAATTTGTTATCATTATTTGATCATTAAACGATACAAAACTGTAATAATATAAGTTCTGTCGTTGAAATTCTCGCATTGTATTTGCACAAAATATAAGTCAAGAAATTTTCATCTATCATCGCGAAACGAAGCGATGTAGCTGATGATAGCATACCTTTATGAAGTGCATTTCTAAGCATATTTTCATAATTTTTATTTAGTGTGCAGCAAGTTACATTCGATGCAGGTCATTCTGAATATTATTCTTGTTTTGCTTCATGTTCTTGAAATCTCCTTACATAAATTCCTGCCTCCTTATCGTCAGTTTTTTTTTTTGATGATGTATCTTAAATATTTCGATAGTAAGCAGATTTGTATAATGTATCGTAATAGTGTACTTGTATCAATCTACGAAAGTTTACAATTTTTTGAAATTTAAAATGCATAAAAAATACTTTCTCTTGTGTTTTTTTCCTTAGTTTTTTTAAATAATCAGTTCATGTTGCTCAATGAGCGGAGGTATAAAATTGTGCTTTTCTTTTCAATATAACATTGTAATGTTATTTACATGGAGTAGTTATGGATTGTTGCATCTGTGACTATCACGAATAAACTCAAGAAAGTAGCTATGTAAAGACCTTACACTTAAGTGTTATGTTATATTTATTAATAATAAAGTAACGTTCAGAAGAAGCAATTAATGTATAAGTAGGCTTGTACTGTATCAGTTAACTAAAACAATTTTTACAAATAAACGGACTGACAAGTTTATGTGACAACTAGAATTTGATTTAAAGCTGGCTGATTTTAGCTGCCTTACATTTACGAGCTGCTAGTAATTCTGTAATTCATCTGACTGTTGTGACTGAGATTTACCTCTTTTAATTTAAACTATTGAAGGAGAAAAAATTGCAGAGTAGTAACTAAACAGCTTACTGTTATAGCAAGCTGTTGGCGTATGAGCATTCTTTGTAACGAAATTTTGCAGTAGATTAGTTCGTTCACTTATGATCTTAATTACATGAGATGTGAGATAGATCACTGTATTCGTTCATACTGAAAGTTTTACATGCAATTCGCTGAAATGGATGTTGTCAGTATGCTAATGATTTTACAAAGCTAAAGATGAAGTACTCAAGTGTTATAAATTGCTAGCAGTAATCTTTCGGGTGAAATAGATGTGATATTTCGAATTAATTTGAACTGCTGAGTCACAACGAAAATGAGATGAAATTTGCACTGAAGATTTTAACTGAAAATGCAGTAGATGCACCGATCAAACAATGAAATACTTGATAATTACCGTAGAAAAGATTGTGTATATCTGGAGCTTAAAGTGAAATTAAATGTCGAATGAATAATTTCAAGCATAAACAAAGTACTTCTCAGGTGTTTTTTTTTCAATATCAGCTTGTGAGGATACTGCAAAATGAAATTTCATTAAGGCTAATTTGTTTGTCATTATTTTATTGGAACTTTTTTCGGGCAACTTCAGAAATGTCTGAGTTTGTGATTTATATTTTTTTCCGTCCCTTTGTTTTCAATATAACATTGTTCTGTTATTTATATGGAGCAGATGTAAATCTTTGGAAAAGCAAAAAAAATAGTTTTGGTAAAAATCAAGCTCGACGAAAACTGAATAAACATTTTGAAATTACAAATCTTATCAGAACAAAATATTTTTATATTTTCAGTTCCTACTCTTATTTTTGCGGTTAATGCTATTTTCGCTGCTTTTAGAAATTAATAACAGGTTTTTGGTGTTCTCATCTAAACTTATGAAGAAAGCTAGGAAGATTTGTGTTTTAAAAACATGTTCTTTTCGAAGCAGAAACTGTTATAGGAGATGAAGACAGTAGTAGTGATATCCTAGTTAAGAATGTGCACGATAGCATTGCAGTGCACATTTTTTTCACTTACATCTAAGAAAGAAACTTGATTTCTAGATGAAAAAGTAGAGAAATAAAAGATGAGTAATGAAAAAAAACATGATAATTAGCCTGAAAAACTTTTTCGTGAATTTGAAAAGATTCTTTGAGTATTCTTTAAAAACTGTTTTTACATTTTAACTATTTCGAATAATTGAATGTCTTTATATTATTCATATAAATAATACAGTAAAATCAAACATGTATGTTTTATTTTTCAAGTAGTTGGTTATGTTAAGACTCAAATATGATGATAAATTGTATGTAATTTGGAGTCATAGTTTCAAGTGTTTGAAAGCATTCCTTATAGATATGAAATCCATGAACGTTACGATCATTGTTTTGTAAAAAAATCTGAGTTCTTGTTTAACGTATAGCTTTAAAGGTATTGAACAAAAATTTTAGCAAGAAAAAGACTCACTAGCAGTAATATACAAGAACACAGACAATTTTTTTAATTCTTATTTTCATTTGGTAGTTATCTCCGACATAAATACTGTGATAGTGGACGCATTAAACAGCGTAGATCAATTCCACTGGATCGGTATATTGGATTTTCGTAAATTTTGACGTCGTACTTGTTACTGAATAAATTTTCAGGAAAAATACAATGAAACCTCAAGATTGTTCTGGTTCTTGCAGAAGATAGGCATACACTGACATGAATTGCGCTCGCGATTTGTGATTTAATCTCAAGTTTTAGAATTGAGCTGTAAGAACTGTATGCACATGATGCCATGGAGAATAAGTCATTTTAACTCCTTGGTATGAAATGGAAAACATTTGAGACTTAAAACAATCTCCAGTATAAACACAAACTACCAAGTTCTCATTTTAAATTTCTCATTCCATAAGAAAGTCACTTTGCATTTATGTTAATTAGTTCTTCCACCATTCCCCATTTATGATATATGTTAATCGGTTCTATCGATCAAGTCCCGCTATTATCAAAAAACGCTTTGACATTGGTAAACAATTTGCAAGTGTTCAAGACCAGAACTTTCTGCTTTTCGGATTGGGTATCGGATACAACAATGAGTTCAACTGTCCGCACAATTATGAAAACAAAGTTTGTCTTAAACCTAAGCTTTATAGAGTTTGTTTATGTAATATCGATAGAAATAAATGTACTAAATGAGATTGAATTTCCACAAGCATCAGTATCAACAATGGCTAACTATTTAAAATTTGCTCTTGTGGTAGAAAAGTAAACTGGAATTGAATTTAGGAGATCTAAATGTTTGCTGACAAAACAAAAATATTGTGGCAGCTAAAAGATTTCGACGAATTCCGAAATCATACTGCAAACAGTTTTGCACAACTTGATGCTGGTTCATTATGTTTGCAGACAACTTCTCAAATGTTATCATGTTCTCACCAATTGAAAGCAATTTGAAGCACATTATTCAGATGGATTTTTAAGACTAACAAAGTTGACTCTTTATAAGAACTTGTGAAAACTATTAGTGTAATACAAAGTAATGAATAATTATGTATTTTTTTGGAGTAAGATTAACTGTGAAAAAACGTGGTTTGTTACGCATGATCTCAAAGTCCATACTAAAAAATCTATATTGTCGGCTGAAAGTAGGACAAATAACAATGTTAACAGACCCTTAAAATCATACCAAGCAACAATACTCTTTCAGCAGATTTCGTACAAATTTGATGAACATTTTGGTGAATTGTTGATCACTTCAGATATCGCAAAAAAACTTTCCAGCCGAGAATCAAATTAGAGACAGCCCTATTAATCGTTAAAGTGATATTTCAAAATCATAACTGAATTTATAAAGTTACACGAAACATCTCGTGGAAATTTCAGCTCAACAACACTCTTGAACTTGTTGCGGATAATCTCTATCTTCTGCTCTAGGACTACCTTTGTTTGCATGCCTTTTTTTAATGTTTTATCTGCAATCATTACAAATGACATTTATACAAATGAATTTTTTCTTTACCAGGAAAACATGCAAATTTGGAATGAGTTGGTTTGCATCGCTCCTTTGCATGGCTACTTCATATTTTCAATACTTCTGTATGATTGTGACAGTACATATATATTACAGCCGGTTATTTTATGCCGTTATAGCAACAGGTGTACTCGAGTATTCACAGAAAAAAAAATGCGATCAGAAAGAAAATGAGAGTATATATGGACTGATTGTAGCCTGCACTACCATAGAAGAACTATCTCATCATTTCGAAATACACTTTTGCTATGGAGACGGGGAAAGGATTAAAAGTAATGATATTTAAAAAGCGCATGAGTATTCGCTTTCTTATGAAGAAAATGATATCAACTATATATCAGAGATTTTGAGCTCACAAATGTTCCATCGAATATTGTCGAAATATCAGCATCCTATTCCCCATTAATTAGTCCTTCAAATTCCAACGATTCGTAAATGGAAGACCAGAAATTGATACTTTTGTAGGCATTGATATATAAATCTTCATCCATACAAATATGCAGTTCTACTGTTTGGTATTTGTGTTCCGGCGATGACACTTACTGCGTCTTTTAGACTTACGATTTGACGATACCATACCGCTTTGTGTACTGGCGTCTCGTGCTTGTAAAAATGTGGGGTGGGGGCCAATGCTCAGTTGATTGCTAGGTCTATGTGCTTTACGTGTAACAGAACCTGAAGATTGCATCTCAAATTAACTTGATAGTAACGAAATGGTAAAATACTTTAGTTGGCCCTTTTCAAAGATTTATAAACGTACGACGATTTTTCTCTGTATCCTTGATTTCCTGATGGTTCCTTTTGAGTGCAAAAGTAGCCGGTATCCTTTTTTGTATCATATGATAAACTAGCACTAGATGCTCATCAATGCCTCGAAAAATATCCTTTACTGGGGGCAAATATTCATCAAAACACAGTTGTCTGATTCGATCTTTCGTCAAATACGGTTCGCTCCTGAAAAGCAAGTTGTACTATCACAGTTAATTTAAAACAGTCGAAGTCTATTAGTTTTGTAACTAGAGATCATAAAATATATACTTCTGGACAATGACTTCAAATATGAAACATTTACAGAACATTTACATATTTTCTGCAGATGGCAAAATCTGCAATTTGCTTGAATCTTTTCGAATCAGATATTTTCCTACTTCCAGCGACTCTAATTTTGTAACCACATCTTTTAACCTCTGTGCTCGTCTCTCGGCACTGAAAATATATCTATATGAAATTAAACAATGATTTGTGGAAAAATTGATGCAAAATAAAATCAACATGCGAATGGTTTTGAAAACAAAATTTCATGTTTTCAAACATCGTGAGTTAATCCATTATACCAGGATAAAGATACATACAGTTTTCGTAAGTCGAGTCGGTTCACGGTTAACGCGCTCTCATTGTAACATTCTTTTTGAAGTAAATACTGCTCAGAATGATGTATTCTGAAAAATTCAAATTTTGTAAAAATGCTTTACTTGAAACAAATCTTCCAAAAATGCAAAATATTAAATGCCAATGAGAATACTTTTGAATGAAACATTTGAATCAAAAATCATATTAAATTCAAAAGCAGAACAAAAGAAGAAAAAATTCAACAATAATAAAAGGCTATTATATTAACATAGCGATACCGTAAACGAACGAGCTGTGATGCACTTTTTAACTTGCAACGAAAATAATCGTTTAACCATTCTTCAACATCCAAATTCTATAAAAATCAATAAAGACTAAGAAACAGTGGAAATCATATGTGCAGCAAGTTTACAGATATGAGAGTTTTTCCGGTGATTTTTTCCAAGCACTCATCTTATTTATTGTTCCAAAAGAACTAAGTGAACTTAATATTCTAAATTGACAAAAAAATACTTTGTTTTTTAATGGTTTAAGAAGGGAAAAAAACAAATCTTGACTCGCAAAATTTAAGAATATGCAGACCTCTGCACCAAACTCAGCAGCATATTCCATTTTATGAACAATGCAAAGCTCCTTCGCAGACATATCAACTCCATCATTATTAGCACGCACAATTATGTCGACATCTTCCATTCCATCATGTCCAAGTGTGAATAATACATAACGTTTTTTAAGATCCGCACCGTTAAATAATGAAGAGTTTTCTGCCTTTTCTAAATGACAGTTTCCGAGCCAAGTTTTTACTTTAAAATGAAAAAGCTGGTTATAATTTACTGTAGTACAATAAATAAATGAATAGTGAAAATTGTTATTTTCAGATTTGATCGCAAGTATCTAATAAGTTTTTGAGATAAGATTATATAAACTCTTTGCTCTTTAAAGCATAACAACCATTAATAGAGCACGAAACTCATGAGAAGAGACATCAATAATTTACAAAACGAAATCAAAAAGAAACCACATTTTCTGGTTAAATTATTGTCAGCGGCATTCATTTCAATCGCTATATCACCCAAGAAGTCACTGTTAATCCTAAAAGTGATTAGGATAATTAGAAAAACAATGTGAAGAACTGAACGGCTTTTTGAAAGAACGAGTACTTAATATAAATATCAGTAACACCATTCTTAATATAATATAATAAATGAATATAAATGAACGATAGCAAGCTAGAGAAAATCAGAATTTTTCAATTTATAAGTTTTAAAGACTTATTACTTGCATAGAAATTACAGGAATGTTGCACAGAAACAAAATAAAAGTTGGAACGAACGATATCTGAGCAGATGACGACAACAAGTCGGCACGTTTCATATTCTGTCCATCCTTATTGCTGTTCTCAGCAATAGTGTTTGATTCTTTTTGGAATTCTTCATCACTGATGACTGCATTATTGATTGTCAGGTTTTGCCCGCTAACTTATTGGAAAGATTATTACATGAGTTTGTGTAGTCATTTCTATATAATCGTATTATTCTTTAATCAAAGAAATAAAACCTTGATCTGTACAAATGAATAAGCATTTTTAACAATGCAAAACAAACCATTATTGAAAAGAACATCTTCTCTTGCCTGATGTTTGTCATTGAGTTCTTCAGTGTCTGTTTCTGATACTCTCCGTTGTCGTTCATCTCCTTTAAGTGATACCATCTCATCTGTTGACTGTTTCAATTTACCATAAATTGACAGTTTCATGCATAACTTGGAGTATCGTCGATTTAGTGATGGACCATTGACTGATTTTTCAATACAAGGTTTATCGACCAAACAAATGTTTTCAAAACGATCTGAAAAAAGTTTATCAGAAAACAATCTTTTCTCAGCGGAATCTCTTGGCATGAGACTAATAGTCTCCTCATTAAAAAGGATTTTACTTTGTGAAAACAATACGGAAAGAGATGTGAAAATTTATTAAAACTGAAAAGAAAATTCAAAAATCTATGCAATAAACCTAATATATTCAAAATTTTAACCCACTCGTTCTTGCACTGAAACCTCGTTTAACTACAACTGGCAATAAATATGCATTAGAATCAGCAACCCACGAATCACACAATATTTTCAGTGCACTACTACAACACATTACAACACGAACATTATGTTGAATTGCCAAATGCATTGCAAGATCGTCAAATTTAAGCGGAAACTGAAAAAAGAATCAAGAATTAAATTTTTTTCTTGGAAATTCTAATAATTAAAAATAAATAGCTACTAATAACATTAACAAGACAAATTTAAGAAAGTAAGTAATATGTATATTTTAAAACCTCTGTCATTTCAGATCGTGGAAAATACGTTGACAAATCATCAACAGAACAATTGAAAGTAAAGTAACGTCTTTCATTTGGGAAAAAGATTTTCGGCAATATGCCTCGATGAAGGATTGATTTTTTTGTCAGAACCGTTAATGTATCTTCAGCTACGTTTTTCATATCTTGATCAAAAATTGGTGCGCCATAATTGCCATCCAATGATAAAGCACGTGATCTCAGTCGATCCTGAGTAAAAATTATATCGTATTACAATTTATAGTAATTAATCAACACAGTTTTGATTTACTCCACTAAACTCATTATTTAAGAGATTTAAATTACATTACCAAAATATCCCTTTAGGTTTTATCATTGTGAAGTTATATTTTGAAAAAATTTGTTTTGTAACCTGCACAAGCTCATACTTCTAACTTTTAGCCAGTAAATAAATATTTTTTTGGCCAGTAAATAAGAATAATAATCCTACGATACACATAATGCATACCAAAATATAAGAGATGACTTGATGATTTGAAAACATATACGCCGATTTTTTTCTGGAAGAAAGACTATGCAAAACCAATTCCTGATATTGCAAACGTTCATTCTTCAGTTTCTCATCCATGACCTGCAAATATACGAAAATACAAATAGCAGCTGAGAAACATAGTTGTTTTTTTTTTGCCCAGAAAATTTTTTGGTGCATGAACGATGAGAAAATTAATATATATAAATACAAATAGTATTTACGATGTACTGCTGGTAAAAATAGTATTTAGGATGTAATGCAGTCCAGACGTTCACACACTGCGTCCAATGAATTGAACAATGTGCGTCGAATATCATATAAAGTTGTAAACTTTGTCCAAGAATGCTCGTAAATTGCACCAAAGAAAACTTTAGAAACCTTATCTTAATGTTAATACCGAGCATATTCTGGACAAAATCAACAGTTATATATAATATGATAAAATGAATATTAAAAAAAAGAATACAAATAAAGACTTCAAGAATAAAAATGCATTTACGCTAATTTCTTGTCGATTTTGTTGAAAACGTGGTTCAGAGTGATTTCCATTTAAATAGTTGGATACGATAGCTACATAACGCTGATGATCAGTTCGCTTTTCAATAACTGAAAAGTGCTTACGTAGTATTGGTGGTAATGATGGCACCCAAGGCATTTCTTCTCGATCAATCTAAAAAACAACAAATTTCAAAGAAATGAATACTGATACTGAATGTGCCAAAACCTGAAATCAAGTTACTGTCAACTGTACCTGCACTTTATTAGTTACCAGTTTCGGACCAGCTCTTTCACGCTGAATTTCTATATACTTTGACAAAGCCTCTTCTCTGTAATGCAACAAAATGAATTAAAGGTATTTTGAGTTCATAAGGACTTCTAACTAAATCTAATCAGAAGCACGCTAAAAGATGACTTTTGAAAAATTAGTTTAAAGACTGTTACCATTACACTTTCATACGCATGATAAAAATAACAAACTATGCCAACAAAAGAAAACCCAATTTAATGAAGCTTTTAATAGAAAGAACTGTCATTTATCTAAACTATAGAGATAATGAATTATAACACAATAAATATCCTGATTACTTCGAATAGCCTTGTTTCTCCAATTTACGGACTGAAATAACAGTTGGAACGTTCGCTGTCTTCGTTTTCTTTTTTTTACTCATAAAGCGACAAGTACTTTTGTTAATTTCAGAATAATTTGTGCCACTTTTCTTTTGCTTTGCTGTACTATTACTTTTGAATCCTTCACTGTATGTTTTTGGTCTGCTGAATATATTCTTAAGCCTAGAGCATGATTCGGTATTAGAATCCAAAACATTGTTTTTAGAGATAATTTCTAACTGATCCAATGATGTAGATGAATGCTGTTTTTTCATCATATGAGCTTGTTTTTGATGATCTTAAAAAGTAACAGATCAATCAAGACAGCCTTTTACAAACAATGAAATAAACAGATAAAAATTAGTATGTCATATTAGTTATCTAATCAGCAATTGGCTACTATAATGTCATTTTCATTAAAAAAATATAAAAAGCTCAAAATATGCAAAGAAAGGATGATAAGGCGAAAATGATGCAGAACCGAATATTGATGGTAATGTGAACGAAAAGAGTTGTGAAAAAATGAATGAGAAATGGGGACTGGCATGTAATGTCTGATAGTCCGACGAAATAGAAGTTATGAAGCTTCCTAATATGATGAAAGGGTTCAGAAGCATTTTCAACGACTTAGTGCATAGAAAAAAATCGTACTACATTTGGATCACTGCCACGAATTGTTAACAAACAAAATTTTCAGAACAAATAAGAAAACCTTTCATTTCTACGGCTTCAGAATTGTTTGACGGACTTAGACAATTTGGTGTAGCCTTGGTGAACAAAATTTCCTGTCCTCTAGTCATCTCGATAATTAGCTCATCTCGACAAAGATCGCAAAACAATTCATTATGTGTTAGAACGGTGCCCATGTCAGAATCAGAATCATTAAACGAACAACATGAAGCAGATTGCATACTTCGCCATTTTTTTTCTTCCATTTTACTAGAATAAGATGAAAAATGCATGAAATCCAAGAAAAAATTAGAAAATAACACTAGAGTATTAGATATGCAAAGGAAAGGTCAGAAATAGAATATGCATTGTGGGATAAGTGAACAATTTGTAATTTCATGATGGTAATAACAAGTTTGCAAATTTAGTAACACTTAAATAGATGTAAGCAAAATAGTTCAGCAATATTAAAATTCCTATGGAATACATTATACGCAACAAAAATTGCTCACTAGGACAAGAAAATGACTCAGAAAATCATTTAAACAATTCCTTAAAACTCACTTCTTTTGAACTCGCAGTTCTCTAACAAATATATTTAACAACACAAGTCCGAAAATGATTAGAAAAAAAATTACGAAAAGTTCCAGGAGAAATTAATACTTCACACATATATCTTAGTGAAGAGAAATATCATCTTTAATTTCTTGACTCGTTTTTAAACTACTAACGTGTAACAGATGAACGAGCCGTGAAATTAAGCGGGCATAAAATGGTATTCAAAGAATTCAAGAGAACAAAGCATTGTTGGGGAGGGAATGTGATTTCCTGATACGTTTGACAATTCTGGCAAGTTTTACTAAAGAGGGTTGCTATAGTTCTAATCAAAGTTCAGTAAAGACTTATCTAGCTATAGAATTCTTGGTGCTGTTCGTGAAAACGGTTCCTTATAAATATTTACGACGGAACAATAAATGATTGTTTTGGATACACACAACTGGATTAGAATCTAAGTTATGGAATGATTCTTACCGCTGTTCCACATATATTAGCTTCACATATTTCTTGCTTAATTTCTCCAGTTGCATCCGTAATTCATTTTCATCAGTTCTTTCCAAGGTTTACCTAGAATTTTTGATTCAGTCAAAACGAAAATAACGTTCTTCAAACTAAGCATGATGATTAAATGTCCCAAACCAAGTGTACTATACAGTTTGTCTTGGTGATATTAGTGTGTAGGGCTTATGGAAAGAATTCAATGCTAGGAGGACTAATTAAGTTCAATTACAAGCCTAATCATCCATTACTTAAAACAACCTGCATTTGGAAGTGCAATCATTGTTAAATTTTTCTCTTATTCTTTCTAGCTATACAGACACTATTACTGACCAATTTCAAATCTTTACCTCACACCACTCTTGATTCTAAAGCAAGTCGGAAACGACGAGAGTGTAGTCTTTCGTGAAACGAAGTTCCACCATCCAACTATACCATTGTATGTTCACTCTCCCATTTCTGTTGTGAATTTCGCCACAAAACTCCTGTTCTAGTCGTATGACTTCGGAAACCTGCTACATTGTTTCAAACTAAAGCAATACTATACTTGACCAAAACCTGACTATTCCTAATCAGTATGTTGTGTTTTATGATGTATGTTTTCCCTTTGAAACTGCAAACAAGACTACCCCAAATTTTTAATGTTTTATTTACGACACGACCAATCATGATTTTGCATCACCTCTGCATGACGAAGGAGAACAATATCCAAACAGCATGAAAAAGGATTCGAAACCACGCATTGATAACGATACCTGAACACCTCTTGAATTAACTTTTCAACTGCACACAGTACTTCCGCCAATAGCTCAAGTGGTGCAGATGCCAGATTCAAATCTTACACTCAAATTTCGCTAGACAGTAAATTATATCTGTCAAAGACTTATCAACAAAGTGAAAGACAATGTTTCAGCTTGGCATTAAACTTTAAAGTGACAAACAAAATTCGAAACCAAAAGTTCTATTCACTGTTTAGCGAATTAACCAATTCCATTCGTAAACATCATTCGACACAAAAATGTTCAACAAATACAAGATTTTGCTGACAGAATTTTGTATATTAATGAGACAAGATATATGAGTAAATCTGACAGTGATATAGTGTAGTTCAATTTCTCATTTGAAAACAGTACGACCTGATTTTCTGGAACCAACGAACCAGTTCCAGATAGGATCTTTATCTAAAATTATTGGTAATAGCATCATATCTTAGAAAATGATTTTGCATGAATAGAGAAACACACTGAACTTGGTAGAAGAAGAGCAAAGCATGCATGTTTCATTGTTGTAGGTATCCATGTGAAATGAATTTTCATCGTCAAAATTATTAGCATCCATTAGATTTTCATAGGGACTGCGTTCAGTATTGACGGCGATACGAATATCTGCAGTGAAACTCCAAATAGATTTAGATTAACTTTTCGAAATCATTACGTTCAGTATATAATATGGTTTTGACAAACAGAGGTGACAATTGAAAGCTAATACTTTTTAAATAAACGAGTATTTGAAATATTTTGGAAATGCTGAAGAACATAAACCTTATAAGACATTAATAGCTGCTATTTGAAAGTATAATTGTAGCGGTCAAAAAGCATGGAGCATGAATGAATAAAATTAGAGTATAATGATAACATTTTTTCTTAAAATATCAAATGCTTGAAGTGAGAAATGTAAAGCGCTGTATAAGTTTGAATGTTCATCCTTTAAAACCGCTTTCCAGATTTATTTTCAAAAAGTGATCAGAAAGAGATTTTTTAACTCAGTAACTGACTAGCTAATAAGCAAGATTTTAAAAAAGTTAAAATGTCAGCAACATAAATGATTAAAATGATATTTAGAAACGTCTATGATTTTTATGGAAACTCTCAACGCTACTTCTTGATGAACTGTAACCTGAAGAACAAACCAAATAATCTTTTTCTTTATAACTAAAAAAACCATATGGGTCATATATAAGCTAAAATGTGGAGATAAAAAATACAAGAAAATTCACTTCAGTGATCTCGGACAATGACGATAACCGCCGGAAGAAGTGCAATGTTTAGGTGATTGCCTCAAAGGATCATACCTGTGTCGTCCCCACAACGAGGACAAATGCATACCACGAGCTCGGCGATGTGAAACTTTGATGTCCATCAACGGCAGTAGTCTAGTGGAATTCTGTAAACTATTCAATATTATTCGTTTTATGAATAATTAAACGAATCTATATTCTATGTTAACTGAGAAATTAATATATTTATAATTTCTTTGTAGCACGTACAGAGAAACAACACGACAATAAAAAACTAATACTAAAAAACTCGTGTTTTATTTATAAATTGAATAGTGGCCGAAATATTCAAAGCTAGAGCAAAAAAATTGGGTGCTCACTAAGACCAAAGATATAAAATAAATAATGCGAACAACAAATTGAACAACATAAATTTCCCCAGAATATTTCTTTAACTGAATTAAACGCAGTACTCACATTACTTTTTACAATTTCGTCTCTTCTGTCGCGCCAATTATGCAAAGAAGTAATTGGACTGAGAATAAGAGGTAATCGTTCTTCACTACATAAATTTTTCCAGGTTTTCCTTAAGGCTAAATTTCTGAAATTTTTCGGCAGATCCTGGTTACATGAGCAAAAAAAAGAAGTGTTACAGAAGTCAAACTTTAAAATTAATAAAAGAAGAGAAAAAAATTTCGAAAGCTGCAAAAGTAGATAACGAATAATAGAAATTGTTCAAAAGTACCTTTTTGCATTCCTAAATTTTATATACGATATTTTAGTATCCAACAAAGAAGGCAAACTGCTTTTTGCTCTCGGCGAAATGTGTTGAATTTTCATCTTTAGTATATTCAAATCAATTCGAGCATCATACGGAAATAAGCTACACAACTGCTGACCAGCTGCACACTGTATTTCACAACCATCCGCGGCAGCATATATTACTTTCTCTGAAATAGTGAACCAAGATATAATACTATTCTTCATCAATTGTTCCAAAAACCTTATGGTTATAATACAGTGACGTTTGCGAACTTTCATTTTCCAGAGTTTGAATCAGAAATTGTAAAATAAGATCTTTAAATTGCAAATGCTATTTATTTAACAAGTTAAAATTTTGAATTTCATATCATGTGAACTACATCAGAAAATTCAACTATATTATACGCTTTTTGTTGCCTGGCATGCAGAGAGGAACAATAATCAAAACAGAAACAACACATATTTAATAAACTTAACCTTAATACAGACTTATGTAACATAAATGTAAAATACACTTTTTTGAGACAGAAGTAATCTTGAAAATGAAACCTCATATAGTCTTATATACCACATATAATTGACAAAATGTCAGGAAAAAAATAAAAACTACTGAGCTTTAAGAAACTAATATTGCTGCGCAATGAAAAGAGGATATTGACAATTTTAACATAATCTTGAAATATATTGCATAAATTCCATACCTTTGTTAAATGGATTCTTTATGTGATCTGTAGCTCTAATGTCAAGTGCACATTTTGAGATCCAGAACAGTTTAATGTTGCCGCCGCCCCTGAAGTTGACCCATCTTATTTCTGGTTGAATGTTATACTGCGCCTCCGAACACATTTGTGCAAAACCTAAGAAGTGACAAGTATTTGTGATTATAACACCTGAATGCGACAGTTCCCAAGAATTCATCTATACTTTAATTAAACACTAGAGATAAATTACCAGCAAAATGGTCTGCATTCTGTGCGAGAAAAATCAAAATGAGGATCGGAGCTCGTCGAAATGCTTCGGTAAGAAGTCTTTCGGTCAGTGGATGAGTAGTCCAAAAAGATGTTTTTATGGCTAGTCTGATATTTTCTTCACAAGATCGAGCCAGAAAGAACTGTGCACGACTCATAAGAGATTTGATTTCAATAGATTCTGAGTAAAAGTGCAGAGTTCATTTAAAGCAGATTTTTCGAATATAATTTTTCG